TAGATTAATGAGAAAAAAAGAATTGATGGCATCATGCTGCAACATCACAAAATTGAACAAGGTGAAGTGGGTGTGAAGACTTTCTCAAGTCACTGTATGTAACTATGTATATTGTTTTCAGGTAAATGGTTAACCCAGTTTCAAATATATAATCCTGAATTCTGTTGACTTTTTCGGTTTTGCTTTCTTTCTCTCTGCGGTTTACAGGAATGCAGGATTTCAACTATCTCAGCAGCAACAGTTTCGAGATCACCCTGGAGCTCAGCTGTGACAAGTTCCCCAATGAGGAAACGCTGAAGAGCTACTGGGAACAGAACCGCAACTCGCTCGTCAATTACATCGAGCAGGTAGGCAGGACTCTAAATACAGATGCCATAAATTGCAGTCTCACGGTTTGCAGTCTCTTCCATTTGCACAGCTGACCCAGAGACAATACCAATGCTTGCAATCTCAAGTCTATAAGTGCTAATGCTTGAAATAAACTGCAAAATGTGTCATCTATAAGAGCAAAATTGACCTTCACAACACAGCAGTCACAACATATTTTCAGATCATAGGTTGGATCTGGCAGGATTTATGTGACTAATTCTGCTAATGGAGGTGAAAGAATCATAACTTTGATGGTAAGAAGGAACCACATAATCGGACGAGTAATGCAGCCTCACGGCGTCAGAGTTGCAACTGCCCATCCAGACGTCAGACACTAATTTGTGGTGATGCCACTTCTGCCTTTGTTTGCTCACAAGAGGTTGCTCAACCAGAAAAAGCTCTATATTTATTAAATGCTCAATGCTCTGCTGAGGAGACTGTTACAGTACATCTTCTCCACCAAAAACTAACAAATCTTTTACACCTGACTCTAAAAATGCTGCCATCAGTCCTACAGGGAACATGTTCTTCACGTGTCAATGTGCACGTTGTGTGCAGGTTCACCGTGGCGTTAAGGGCTTTATCCGTGACCTTCAGGGCAACCCCATTTCCAATGCCACTGTGTCTGTGGAGGGTATTGACCATGACATCACCACAGGTAAATTCACACAATTCACAAAGCACAAGTGCTATCACAGCTCTTGCTTGCTCCATGTGAGAAATATAATGGAGAGATGGTGCAATGCATCCATCTCGTGGATAGTGTGGGTACTGCAGTTGTTACTCGGAGCTGCTCTGAGCATCAGTGTGTTGGTTAAACACATTTTAATAAGACAATCTGTATTTTATAGCCAAAGATGGAGACTATTGGCGCCTGCTGGCTCCAGGAAACTACAAAGTGGCAGCCTCTGCCCCAGGATACCTGACTGTCATCAAGAAGGTGGCTGTACCCTACAGCCCTGCAACCAGGGTAAGACACACAAACAAATGACCCATCACATTCCCTGTGGGGTCTTTTATCTTTCCAGAAGGTAACCTGAGTGGAAGTTTCCCAGCCATATTTTCTGGATCTCTAAGCCCTACACCTATATGAAAATATACAATCCAGAATAAGTCACTGAACCTTGGTCCCTCCAGCAGACACCACAAACACATCAGATGCTGGATGTCTGACTAATGTTGGCACCGCCTACGTAATAATGTAAGGTCTTGGTTGAAGTGTCTGTTCACAATAAGCCACTAAATGTTTAACGGAGGAGTGATATTCATCAACATGTGGCCAGCTGTAACTGAATTAAGTGCGATGACACCAACTGAGCTCAAGAAGTGCAGAACACCTATCATATAGACCAAATACACCTATCATAGTTTATATGTTAAACTTCAACATATAAACTACTCGTGTGTCATACTGAAACGTTTGGTGGGATTCCAGTAAATACAGCTCCAGTATTCCTTTTAACCTAGAGGTATGAGCAGGAGAGCAATGTGTCATGACTTAGCAAATTCTGAACATTTTAGTGACCAATAAATCACTGTGATTTTTACTTTCCACAATAATAAGTTTCCACAATAAAACACACCTTTCAGGTTTTCAAGTATTTTGAAATTGGTTTTTTTGGACACCTGGAGTGTAAATGTGCCTGTTTCTAAAACCCT